AAGAAAGAGGGACACTCTCATATGATGTACAGCCTCTGAAAACCCACTGGAGGCTCAGCTGTGAGTCAGTTCTGATTTGACAGCACATAACAACAACAGTAAATCTCCATACTAAGGATTCTGAAATCTGAAAAATTAGACGCTGTCCAGCTACCACTACTGACCACCTTTAAAGAGATCAAAACCAAAGGTGCCAGACAGAATGGGATAAAAATGAAGAACTCAGAATGATGATACAAACCAGGCTTACTAATCTGACAGAGACTTATAGAAGTCCCAAAACAAGAGTCCTTAGTCACACCTTACATGTCTAGAAATGGAAGGAGCCTGTGACTCAATTTCTAGCTGAACAATAGACAAACCTATTAAACGATGGATATCACCAAGCAACAACATATCCTTTTTTTTTTTTTTTTTAGTGTGAGTGTACCGTCAAATCAGATCTGACTAGTACAGGAGGAGACTGTCCCTCCTTCCCCGGCAGAGGCTCTGGTGGATTCGAACCATGCACCTCTGGGATTATAGTTGCAGCTCCCTGCCACTAGGCCACCAGAGCTCCCCTAACATATCCTTTTAACAATCAAGGACACAATTTGAAAATGGGAAAATTCTCTCAAGCACAGAACACAGGAAGTAGGAAGGAAAAGGAAAGAAGGATAGATAAAAATGAGAAATAGAGGAAGGAAATGAAAAGTGTGCTGTTTCACTCTGGGGACTGCAACTAAAGTTACAAAATGTGTAAAATCTGTTGAATGGACAATCAATGTGCTCTTTAAACACTCATTCAAATCACAAAAAAGTTAAAAAGACTGATCACTTAGAGAAAAATGAATTATGTAATACCATGCTTCAAGAAAATAAAAAGTATCCCAAGGTTAAAAGAACAGCTTTTTTACTTGATTCTGCATTCATGGGTGCAATGGTGGCATACTAACCAAGTACTCACTAGCCTTCTTTACACAGACTCACACTGATTCCATGCACCAGTAATCGTAGGAGATTAGTTATTGTGCAAACAACAATTTTCAACTATTGTTGTTGTTGCTATGTGCCATCAAGTAGACTCCAACTCACAGCGACCCTATGTACAGCACCTGTGAACTCTGCTCTATCCTGAGCCAATTTCATCATCTCTGACACAACTATCCCATTACCCCAGTCACTGAGTCAATCTATCTCATCCAGGGTCTTCCTCTCTTGGATGTCCCTCCACCATTCCAAGCATCATGTCCCTTTCCAAGGACTGGTCCCTACTTGCAACATGCCCAAAGTGTGTGAAACGAAGCTTCAGAGTCCTTGCTTCCCAAAGAACAGCCTGGCTTTACCCTCTGCAGGACAAATCTGTTTGTTCTCCTAGCAGCCCATGGTATGTTCCATACTCTTCTCCAGCACCATAACTCAAAGGCATCAATTCTTCTGTAATCCTTAGTCATTGTCCAGTTTTCTGATGTATAGAAAGTAACTGCACTCTTTTCGCCATCTTTCCACATGGTGCACATGAATGTCCTGGACAATGTGCTCAAGAGCATCAACAATACCGAGAAGAGAGGCAAACGCCAGGTCCTTGTCATGCTGTGTTCCAAAGTCATTGTTCGGTTCCTGACTGTGATAATAAAGCATAGCTACATGGGCGAATTTGAAATCATTGATAATCACAGAGCGGGTAAAATTGTTGTCAACCTCATAGGCCTGTTAAACAAGTGGGGCGTTATCAGCCCCAGATATGATGTGCAGCTCAAAGATCTAGAAAAGTGGCAGAATAATCTGTTCCCGTCCCGTCAGTTCGGTTTCACTGTACTGACAACCTCAGCTAGCATCATGGACCACGAGGAAACAAGAGGAAAACACACAGGAGGAAAAATCCCGTGATTCTTTTTCTAGGGATGTAATGAAAAGTGCAAACAAAACAAGGAACTCATGCAATATTATTCAAAATGGGTGACCCTGAAGGACATTATGCTGAGTGAAATATCTCATTCACAAAAAGACAAATACTATATGGTGCCACTGTTGTAGAATGAGGCTGACATCAAAGTGCGGGTAAGACTGAGAAAAACTGGATAAATTATGTTTACTGCATTGAAGCCGATGAGGGAGAAAATAGTTTAAAAGTAATATATTTTAGGGCATTATGATTATCATAAGAGTCTGGAATGAGGGTTGCAGAGTGGAGTATACTCGAGGTGGGGGTAGGGGTGGGGAGTGCAGGGGGGATTGTATACCAATGAAAGGGTTTTTCTTTTGCTTTTCAAGGAGAAAAGTGAACTGGGGGGGGCAGGAAGAAAAGTGCAACAATGAATGAATGGAAATCCAAAATTTCTGTAGATGTTCATTGAAATTAATTTCAAAAAAAAAAAGTTGGGACAATGATAGGTATAGATGAACAATAATAAATTCTATAAAATACAAGGCATATTAATGACCATATGAAAGAGTGTACATGAATGAAAGAAATAGAAATGAATTACTGTATAAAACACAATGTACATGCAAGAAACAAAATATAAATGAATTATTGTATGAAAACCAATAAAAATATTAAAAGGGAAAAATTTTCAAATTAAAGAACGAATTAACACGAAAAATGAAAGAAAGAGAGGTAAAAAGAGAGAGAGAAAGAAAGAGGGAGGGAAGGAGGGAAGGAGGGAAGGAAGGAAGGAAGGAAGGAGGGAAGGGAGGGAGGGAGGGAGGAAAGGCAGGGAGGGAGAGAAGAAGGGATGAGGGGAGGGAAGGGAGGGAGGGAAAGAAAGCAAGCAATTGCAAAGACCACAGACTGTCAGGTGCACCTTTTGGTCTCTAGACTGCCATCACTGCTCTTCAGTACTCTGGAGAGGTCCCTGATCACAGATTTCCCAAAGCAATTCATCTTTTTATTTCCTGGCTGCTGGTACCAAGAGTGTTGATTGTGGCACCATGCAAGCTAAAGTTTTTAATAATCTCAGTCTCTTCACCATCTATCATGATGTTGCCAACTGACCCAGTAATGAGAATCTTTGTTTTCTTGATGGTGAGCCTCAATCCATATTTAAGGCTGCAGTCCTTAACCTTCTACAGCAAATGCCTCAGGTCTGCTTAGGTTTCAGCAAGCAAGGTTGTGTCATCTGCATAAAGCAGGTTGTTGATGAGTCCTCCTCCAATCCTGATGCCACATTCTTCCTCAAAGAGTCCAGCCTCCCAGATGATGTGTGACACATATAAATTGAAAAGGTAAGGAGGTAGGATGCATTCCTGGCATACACCTTTCTTGATTTTGAACCCTGCAGTGTTTCCTTGCTCCTCTCATGAATGCCTCCCGGTTCAAGTATAGGTTTCGCATAAGCACAATCAAGTATTCTGGGATTCCAATTCTTCTCAGAGTCAGCCACAATTTCTTGTGATTCACACAATCAAATGCCTTTGCATAGTTAATGAAACATAGACAGACATTTCTCTGGTACTCTCTGCTTTCAGCCAAGATCCAACTAACATTGGCTAATATCCCTAGTGCGATGGCCTCTTCTAAACCCAGCCTGCACATACGGCAGTTCCCTGGTGATGTACTACTCCATTAAGTTAGTTAAATTAGGATGAAATCTTCCTTCTGTGTATACTCTGATTAAAGGAGGATTTAGTAGTGTGTATGTCAATCTTCTTTCTTGCAGTGTTTAATTTCTTTTCTCCCCAATAAATATTCTTTCTCTGACATAAAAATTTCCATGAATATTTGTTCTTCATACTTACCACTTCCAAGATACCTTATAAAATATTAGTAATCATTTCTAACAGGTTAAGATGCTTACTGTGTGCCACACCTGAATGTATTGTTAACATATCTGAACCCAGTCTTCACAGTACTACTATTGAGTAGAAGTTATTATTCTTCCTATATTGCAGATGGGGAACCTGAGGCAAGGGGAATCTGTAGCACGCCAGTAATACATGGCTAATGCTTGGTAAAGCTGGCATGACTTAACATTTAGGACAGAAGAGGTCCACATATCCCCAAAACAATTCCTTAGGGACCTTGCAAGCTACAACAGAAGTGGTACCCCATCACAGGCATTTACTCTCCTTGACTACCTAGGGATCAAGTAAATAAACACTTTAACAATAAATAAATAAATATCTACAAAATAGAACCAAAGGCAGAGTTTCACAAGTAAGCACTAGAGTACATGAACCTCATAGCTAAGACTTTTGTTAAACTCCTGAGCAATTTTCACAGGGTGACAACTGGTAAAGGTTATGGTTAGGATGAGTATCCTGATATGAATACCCAAACATAAAAACCACAATCCAGTCAATCTGAGAAAAGTCTACTCCAGCACTAATGAATGGTCCCACCCTTATTATCTATTGTTTATCTTTATGTCTTACCTAATTTGTTTGCAAATTTTGTTTTCTTACCCAGAAAGCTATTTTTTCATTATGATCCTCTAAAGTGACTGACTTACAGAAACCTAGTTTTTCTAAGTTTTAACAGTAGATATCATTCCAAGGACCTCAGGAATCCTTGGACAAATTCATCTTAAACATCTAGATTAGAAAACGGAGTTCTTACTCTGAAGTGCTAAAAATTACAGTAAATTTGGAAGCCTCCTATTCCATTATCCAATGTCTGCAGTCAACTGAGAACCAACATAAAATATCACTGGGCAAGATATCCTTCATAGAACCTAACTTCAGGCTATCAATCTGTTAAGTTTGTGAAGAAACTTCTAGTTCAGATCCATAAGAGCAGTTCAAATTACTTTTAAAACCTTAATAAGAGAACATGTATTACTTTTGGAGGAGAGTTAGCTTTAGGAATTTTCCACCTGAAAACAAAGGAAACTTAAGTATCCACTAACTATTTTGTTTTCATGAAATTAACACAAAAAGGGTAAAGGAAGTTATATTTGTTACTTTGTTGGGAAGTTTTGATCACTTATGACTGTTTAAATTCACTTTTATGTAACTTAGCAACAAAGTGTTCTAACTCACAAGTATTTTGAAGAAAACAAGCAGAGAAAAAAAAATACCTCAAGTTCCACCAGAGCTGCAGTGACTGCATCTGTTGCAAGGGAACCAGCCTGCAGCTTTTCAATTGCCTATGAGACCAAGAGGAGAGATTACTCATAATAAAGCCACAACTTCTCAAGCATGCCCATAAACCTTCCAAAGAAGATACACAGTTAATAAAAATGATCACCAAGTTCATGCCCTAATTCAAGATGTAAACTGCTTAGATTCAAAATAAACAGTTACTTGTTTATATTCAGATAAACTTATAATATAGCTCATTTAATACTATTCAAATGAAGACAACAAATAAAATCCATCCACTGAAAGGACTATTTAAGGAATCTGATAAGTGAAGGGCTTCATTTATCACAAAGAAATTCAAAATACTTACAGAAATTAGTACTAATTCAGTTTTGTTTAAATAGTCTGACAAATTTCTTTTTTATATAGGTGGCTGAATTTCCATCTATGCTAATAATGTCTCTCCCCACTTTTAAAACTCTTTCTTACCCACATCTATAAAAATCAACGGCATGTCAGAACCCTGAGAGGGAAGCATATGCTATGCTATACTGTATTTTCTTTTTAAACAACCAAATCATATTTTATTGTAATAAAAAATTACGGAGAGTCTAAAGCTTGGTAAAACTTAAGAAAGGGAGATGGCTTAAAAATAAATTTATTAAGATTCTAATTTAGTCAGCAAAAAGAAGTTTTATGATAGTTCCAAATATATAATCCTAGGACTAAAGTTCCATTAAAGTGAAATTTATTTCTGAAAAGATACCATATCTTTAAAAATATAAAATTGATAAAATAACTTCAGGAACATTTCACATTTAGCTTTATCATTTTTAATTTTACAAAATATTCATTCCTAAAATATTTTTATTTACAAGATTTAATTTATAAGGAACAGCTTGGCTGTCAAAGTATAATCTCTCTTTTAAATGATAATGTTACATGAATATATTAACATTGATTAATAATACAACTGCAAATATAAGTGAAAAGCTGAGAGAAAGATTTATTTACTCGATTTATAGCATCTAACATTAGAGTAAAAAATTTTAGAAGGTTTGCCCACAAGAGTGTAAACTCAGGATCAAAATAAAAGCAAACAATATTTCTTCTCATTTCATTCCTGCCTCACTTTAACTAGTAAACAATTTAGCAAAACCTCAAAAATCAAAGGGGGGAAGAAAAGTACAATTAAGTACAAGGGCAAAGTTAAACCCAGGAATGACAATGAATTTGCCATGATACAAACTATGTGATGAAAAACAGAAGTGAAGAGTACAAGATAATCTCTCTTGGCAACAATTAAAAGAGATATGATTATGTGCCCACAGTTTCCAAAATGCAGACTTGAATCTGTAGGAAGGGAGCGACCTAAGCATTATCTGTAACTGAAACAGAAAACAAACCTTAAGAGAGCCCACAAATATGAGCAAAGCAACTTTGTGATCCAAAGTAAAGATTTTCTTCCACATGGAACTTAGAAATGTTTTCATTTCTAGATAAAGTCATTTTATGTTCAAAAACTAAGAAGTTGAGATCACACATTTGGTTCATACCTTTTGGCAAGCTCGTTTGCATACATGTTTGTACTCCTTAGCTTTGGATTCAGAATGATAACCTGCACCTGTAGAAGAAATCAAGCAACTGTTAGGGATTAAAATATCCGACCTTGCTCTCTCTACCTCGAATATTATGTATGCTGTTTCAAAAGTCACCCAATAGAGAGGCTTCAGGTAATCTCCCAACATGGTTTGCTACTCACTTGACCCGGAAAACCCCACAAAATCATGCAAATCAAGAGGCTCAAATCTCCGGGTCCATCTTAAGAACACCTGAGAAACTGCCCAGGCCATCAAGGGTATGCATATCCGGAAAGCCACCAAATATCTGGAAGATGTCACTCTGTAAAAGCAGTGTGTGCCCTTCCGATGATACAATGGTGGAATTGGTAGGTGTGCCCAGGCCAAACAGTGGGGTTGGACACAGGGTCGGTGGCCCAAAAAGAGTGCAGAGTTTTTGTTGCATATGCTTAAAAACGCCAAAAGTAATGCTGAACTTAAGGGTTTTGATGTTGATTCTCTGGTCATTGAGCATATCCAGGTGAACAAAGCTCCCAAGATGCGCCGCACGTACAGAGCTCATGGTCAGATTAACCCCTACATGAGCTCCCCCTGCCATACTGAGATGATCCTTACTGAAAAGGAACAGATTGTATTGTTCCTAAACCAGAAGAGGAGGTTGCCCAGAAGAAAAAGATCTCACAGAAGAAACTAAAGAAACAAAAACTTATGGCTCGAGAATAAATACGTCATCAAATAAAATGAAAATAGTTAAAAAAAAAAAAGTCACCCAATATGGGATCAAATTAACAGTAGCAAAACAAGGCTCAGTTGATGTTCATAAGGGGAACAATTCAGAAAATCAGGGTGAGAAGAGCTGCCCAACTCAGAATGTAATCAGTGTCACTAAATTCTGCATATTGAAATTATTGAACTAATGATGCATGTTCTTAGCAATTAAAATATAAGGAAAAATCTGACCTTAGTAATATTTTCTAAATTTACTGTTATTGTTAGGTGGTGTTGAGTACAACTCATAGCAACTCTATGAACAGTGAACTGAACCCTGAACCATGTTAAGAGGGCCTATTCCTTGGAAAGGACATCATGCTCGGCAAAGTCAGAGAAAGATGGGGATATCCTCAAAGACAAGGATAAACACAGTGACTGCAGCAATGGGCTCAACTGTGTCAGAAATGATCTGTGTCAGAAATGATGAAGATGTAAGTCCATAAAATGAATCCTGTCCTAATAAAAAACAAAACTCTTGCCCCAGCTATAAAGAATTTTTTAACTCATCGTCATCTTTCTCTAACCAAAAAGACTTTTTAAGGTCATTTCTTTTTTTATTAATTTTAATGAAAGTTTACAGATTCTTAGGGTTTCCAGTCATTCATTGTTGCACTTTTCTCCCTGCCCATCCCAAGCCCCCAATTCACTTTTCTCCTTGATAAGTAAAAGAAAGACTCTTTTATAGCTATGCAATCCCTCCTCCTAAGTCCACTGCACTGTGCAGCCTTCATTCTGGACTCCTGACATGACAATAATACCTAATCATATGTCCCTTTTAAACAGTTCTCTCCCTCATCTGTTACAATGTAATGTCATTTCTTATCACATTCATCAAGAATTACGTTTCTCCTGGAGGTCCTGAAAATAGCTCATGTCACCCAGGAAGCTTCACCAACGTCAGCTCTCGCGCTTTCAAGAAAAATCTCTCCAAGGTCAGGAGTTTTTAACATGAAGCATCAAGGAAAGACCCCTTCAAATTCCCTTCTACTGATCTTCAAAAAGCTAATCTTGTGGGAAATTACTTTTTCAGGTCCAAAATTCTTAATAATAGTTTTTTTTTAATTATGTAGCTTTTGAACAACATCTGAAGTTACTTGCATCAGTTAAGAAATCAAAAGATAGCTTGTATTGGGAAAATCTGCTATAAAGGACCTTTCCAAAGTACTAGAGATCAATGATGTCAGTTTACTAAGGTGTACCTGATGCAGGATACAGTCTTTTCAGCTACTTCCTATATAAAAGTTGAACAACGAACATGGATGGTAGTAGAAAAGCTGATGCCTTTGAAATGGAAAAGAGTACTGTATGAATTTCCAAAAGAGTAAACCAATCTGCCTTGGAGGAAGTAAAACCAGGATGCTCCTTAGAGGTAAAGAGAGTGAAATTTCATCTTACATACTTTGGGCATGTTGTTAAAAGGAGTCAGTCCTTGAAATATGACATCATGCTGGAAAAGGTAAAGAGTCAGAGAAAGAGAGAAGACTCTCAACAAGATGGACTGACATGGTGATCCTAACAACACCCTCAAGCATATTGGAGATGATGAGGACTCAACACACTCACTCAGCAGGTCACTCTGAGTCGTACAGGGCCTATAACAACATCAATATGCCACCTGCACTCCACTCCTACCACCCACATGACTTCATATCTTCTCAACCTCCTACAAAGAAACCTCAGTGATACTAACTAGTGACAATCATTACTCAACAGAAATGCTGGTGGTTCTTTCCTCATCAGAGAACCCTTGTGGCATAGTGGTTGAGTGTTCCCTGCCAATCTAAAAGTTGGTGTCATTCACATCCACCAGCATCTTCAAAGGAGAAAGCTGCTGTAGTCTAGATCTGTAAAGACTTCCAGCCTTGGAAATCCCAAGGTGCAGTTCTACCAATACAAAGTAAAATAGTCAACTAGACAGTGATGAGGTTATTGTATTATTTTGTCTCTTAATCACAACACATAATAATTTCTCTGAGAGATCACCTCTGAGCATATGTTTCCCTTAGAGGATTAACACTTGCTTGGTTCAAGATCTGAGAATACTCAACATGAAAGAAATAAAGAGTCTTTAAACTGCCTTGAGGTACAAGCTTCTTAAATTAAAGTTCTTTAACAGAACACAGAAGTCTCTAACTCAAGAAAGGTTAAGAACTACATCCCGACTTGACTTTTGAGTCTGCAGACTAACTTACACCTAACTCAACTTGCCTTAAGTCAAAGAATGGGCCATGGTACAAGAACCCAGATTAGTGGAAAAGATGCACAAACAATTAAAATTCCTTACTTAGGTTCCAAAGACCAGAACATTACAACAAAATTGGCATCATGTGAAAAATAGAGGATCATGATATCATACCACAAAATAACAGATGACCACATCATAATTCTCATATTACTTCACGGCTTACTGCTGAATCACTGAGAATCATGACATGACCATGATGACACATAATCTTAACCATAACTGTTAAAGTTCTTTGCAGCTTGTCTGTCAATGTTCATAACTGCAGACATCATCTGTTAATGAACAAAATAGTTGGGCAGGTTTTTCACTATTGCCATAAAAGCAAAATAACAATAAGTGAGGAGTAGGTGTATACCCAAATGCTACTACTCTTTCTAAAGAGAACTTTTAATGTTTACAGCCCCTGTACTAATACTCAATAAATTAATCTTCATGATTTTCTAGAAAATTACTTTGATGGTGGTGTGTAACCACTGAGTCAGAACCAGCCCATAGCTGGACTTCCAGGAGGTTTTCAGTGGCAGTTAATTGCATGGAAGGAGACTGCCCATCTTTCTTCTTTGGAGCCGCTGGTGGATTCAAACCACATACTATGGGGTTGACAGAGCAATTCCTTAAGCTACTAGAGCTTCCTAGAAACAAATCAGTCTCATTTTTCAGAGACCACTGTCTCCTAAAACAGGATACCCCTGTTAAATATATTTTAACTTCACTGCATATGGAAAAAAAAATCAGCGTTCATGGACAATTGACACCAGCTCTTGACAAACCCACATGTGGAAGCATTCAGTGGCTAAGTTTTTGGGAAAGAGATATCCAGGTTTTTCCTCTGCACCTCAACGACAACTCAAACCTTCAAGATTCTGGTTGGCAAGAGTTTGGATTACCCAAAGGCTCTTAAGCATCTACGAGCAGTATTAAATACCACTAACATGTAATCTCTCTTATTAGAATACAAAATTCTCAGTCTGATCCCATTACATCTTTAATAAGCACTTAACACTTGCCAACTTCCCTATTTAATAAACATAAATTCAAGATATATAGCATCATAAAGAAAAGAATGTAGCTAAAATTTATACTTAAAGTTACTTTTTATGGCAAATAATACTGCTACTCTTTTAACAGAGAATAAACTGCATTTTTAATATTAAAGTTAAAAAGTGTTTAGTACACTTCTTTCCCTGTTGCTGCTCTAGGACTGTGATTTGGGTTAGGTTAATCTTTTCGTTGGTTTAGGTGGGTGTTTTAGGCACAGTGATTAGGTGCCTGGCTGTCAACCTGAAGGCTGGTGGTTCATTAGCCATTCTACAGGAGAAACATCTGGCAAGCTGTGCCCAAGAAAACCCTACAGGGAGGTTTTGCTCTCCTACAAAGTTGCTGAGCATCAGAATCAATTTGATGCCTGTTTGCTTCTATTTTACTTTCTGTCAGTAGAGGCCAGTATTTGGAAAAAGACATCACACTGGAAGGGTGGAGCCTAAGAACAAGAGAGAAAGATGTCAAATATGACTTTACTTTTGTTTATAGTGTTGCTATGAGTTATGGTCAACTCAATGTCATTTAACAGCAACAAGTATCAGTAGTATATGTTGTTATTATATGCCTTCGAGTCACTTGTGACTCATAGCGACCCTATGTACAACAGCCCTAAACCCTGCTCTATCCTGTGACAATCGCATTGCCTCTGACACACCCATCCCGATTACCCCAGCCACTGAATCAATCCACCTCATAGAGGGCCTTCCCCTCCTGCGCTGTCCCTCTACTCTACCCAGCATGATGTCCCTCTCCAAAGACCTGTCTCTCCTTACAACATGTCCAAAGTATGTCAGACAAAGCCCCAGAATCTTTGCCTCCAAGGAGCAGCCTGGTTTAACCCTCTCCAGGATGAATCTGGTTGTTTACTTGGCAGTCCACGGTCATTCAATACTCTTCTCCAGCAGCACAGCTCAAAGGCATCCATTCTCCTTCTATCCTCCTTAGTCATTGTCCAACTCTCTGATGCATAACAAGTGATTGCAAAGA